TTACAGTGGCTATAGACAATGCCAAGAAGTTGTTTTGCAAGTGTACATTCTCCAAATAGAGAGTAAGTCTTGTTACTTTTACGAGAGTGGTACCTTTGGAAACTAGAGACCTGTGCACAATCGAGTTTATATTTGTGGACACAGTACCTTGTGCTACTACAGTATCGAGGTTGACTGTACGAGTCTCGTCGTCTAAAGTCTACTGCTTATTTACCAGCGGCGGGAGTTGTCGAGATGCAGCTAATACGACAGCAAGTGTGTCGCGTTACGCTTATAATGCGAAGCGAAGATTTGCGAGATAGAGTAGCGAGATCAGCGAGCCCAAAAGTGGGCGCGACAGGTCAGACACAAATGAGGTGTAGGTAAGTTTGTTCTGCGCCGACCGAGCCCCCGATGTTGATGTTGTTTGTGCTTGTATAAAAATGTAAGCATGTCAAGGAACTTGAGCATCTGAAGTGTACTTTTTGTGTACTTTCGGGTTAATAATGTGGCCTTTTTGGCAGATTAACTAAAGGTGTGCGGCTGCTGTGGTGGGGAAAGATGAGGCTGAATTTACAATGGGGTTTAATGGAGACATGTTGAACGTTTTTGTCACTTCATGCCCTCAAGAGGCATTTTGTTTAATTATTTTGCTTAATTTTTATTTATTTTTTAATTATGTCTCAGGAATGTAGGGTTTGGGAATTATGGCAGGTTTAAAAGAAAATATGAAGGCAAAATTAAATCTGTTTTCCACTCTAGCTGTGACATCACGCACTCTAAAATCTGAAGAAGGCCTCTTTACCAAGGCCTGAACAATGTTTAATATCTCTAAAAGTACGAATCAGATTTAAAATGTGTGTAACACGAATAATGTCAGAAAGATGTGTAACATTTTAAAGTTGGAATGAGGTTTCTGAGTGAAAGTAGAAAGGAGCAGTTAGCAGTTGAAGTCGCATGAAAATCTTTCAAGTCTGAAGAGCTTCTCCATTGACTTCAATGTTAAAAATGGGATGAATGATGGGATGTATCTCTGGAATTATGAAAGTTATGAAAAAGAAAAGTAATAGCCATCGATTCCCGACCGAGCTGAACGTTTTGACGTTTGAACGGAGTTTCTGCGATGTGGAATGTGAGAGAAGAAGAGGTGCAAAATAACCCGGCGGAATAATAAAGAATTTTGTGCGTAGCATAACAGATAGTTGGAATGCTGTATCATCATTCCCACTAAATAAGCAACGAAGCATCTGATCTATGGCAAATGTTCTTTTTTTAAATTGGTGACAGCACTAATTACAACTATATTATGGATTTTTGTTATCAGATCTTATCAGAGCTGGTCAAATGAAAGTCAGATTTTTAATGTGGCACTATTTGATCCAGTACTTTTACTCCTAGTTCATTGTTGTTTTAGAGAGAAAGCGACATCTGTGGACACCTGCACAATTAACAATGAAGGAATCCTAACTCGGAGAAGCTGACTGAAATGAAAAACTCCCATGATCCAATGCTATTTAACAAGGCAAAAGACACCCCTAAGAAGCAGAAAATGAAATATTGTTGTTTTAAGTATGGATATAAACAATAGTATTCATGTGAAAACGTTCAGCATATTGCCAGTGTTTCAGTCTAACATCTAAAATTATAAAAACAACATACAATCATTAAAATATCAAATCTTGTATGGTGTACATTACCACACAGACTGAGGGCTGTCAGTTTGGCAGGTGGAATGTTTGCCATGAAGCGCTCCATCCCCAGATAAATGAAGGCGCTGCATCCACACAGCAGCTGCTCCACCTCGGAAAGACTTAACACATATAGGAGAGGGGTTAGTGCTGCAGAAATTATCAGGTGGGTTGCAGTGTGACACATACAGTTGGATCTCAGTATGCTCAGTGCAAAGACCCTAACATGCTGACTTGAATTCTAACCTGGGGGTTACTGTGCTCCCCATGAAGCCCTCCCACAGATGGGTACAATGCTGGCTGTGGGTTTCCAAAATCTCCTTCATCCTCTTGCTTAAGCTGGTCCCATCTGTGCCAGAGAGACAACGGCATATTGTAAAGCCTTACAAAGATGGGAAGAATGGGTGAGGTATACAACACACAACATTTCTAAGGATCCTTCTACGACATCCTTATGTGATGTCTATATGGGAGGCTGTGGCTCAGTGGGTTAGTGCGCTGATCCTCGAATCAGAGGATAGCAAGTTTGAATCCCACTGCAGTCAGTATGTTGTTGTGTCCCTGAGACACTTCACCCCAAATTGTTCCTGTGGGGATTGCCCACAGTACTGAATGTGTGTAAGTCACTTTGGATAAAAGCGTCCAACAAGTGACATGTAATGTATATCATGGTGGAAGATCGATGCTTCCACTGACCCCCTTTATTTCTCTCAGTCTCCTAAATCTGACCGAATGTATTATTTTTAACAATGCCTGTTTGAAGTATTACATTATATTACATACACAGGTATAATGTAGTAAACAGGCTTAGGGAGTAACGGATAACATGTCATGGGATTACTTACTCAGGATACAAACAAAGGTCTATTGCCTAATAGTTACATAAAAAGATATGTAATCATATTCTGTTACAAACGTGGGATTACGAGCAGGATTACAATGTTACTAAAAAGAGCATGTTGTTTGTTGTAAACGGATCAGATATAATGCTTTTCTTTGTAGGCTGCACTATTCTGTAAGCCTTATTTGGTTTCTTCGTTTCTAAGGTCACATTGTTCTTTTGTCTTACATTATACAAGAAAAAAACATCTTATTTATTTTGTCTTGTATTTATTGCATTGCATTTGATATTGAGCCCAAAAGTAACATAAAGTAATCAGGTAATATGACATTTATATTTTTATACTTTTTTTTTTTTTACAGGTAACTAGTAATTGCAACGGATGACATTTTTAAAGTAAAAACTAAAAACTCTCAAACCTGGTACTAAATATGCTCAGTGAAAGACTGTGAATCTTTCCCAACCTATTTCCCCCCAATACATATTAGACTAGGAAAAATCTTCTTATAACGGGTAAAAACATGTAAACTTAAATATACCAGCTTTAGTGTGGTTTGCAGAGATCCACAGGTATGCAATGAGATGAGATGCTGCTTAAGGCATTTGCCAAACCGGCATTTGCCGGTTTGCTCTCAATCCCCAAGGCCAAACTCCGGAGCTTCGGGGACAGAGCCTTCTCTGTGGCAGCCCCGAAGCTCTGGAACTCCCTCCCCCAAGACCTCCGTGAGTCTGATTCCCTCACCCTGTTCCAGTCCCGTCTCAAAACCCACCTCTTCAACTCTGCTTATCCTTAAACCCGCCCCTCCCCCCTCTGAACCAACATCCTCCTGACTGCTTTTCTGTTTTTGTTTTGTTTTTGTTTGTGTTTTTGTTCTTGTTTTGTTTGTCGACCTGACTCATAATGTAAAGCGTCTTTGGGTCTAGAAAAGCGCTATATAAATCCTATTTATTATTATTATTAATTGTTTTTTTAAATGTAATTGGTATTTGTTTTTTAGATGTGCCTTCCTCCCCTGTTATTAAATTATTATTTTGCATATGCACTATGACTATTACACATTTTGAATAAAACAAATGAGACATTAAACCTTCTGATTTGAAACGTGTGTCATGCAATGATTGACTGAAATACGGTATACAAATAACATTATATGACTCAGAACATCATGAGCCTCAGTAGAACTCTCCCACGGTCCAAAACACACCATCCATACAAAACCTGAAAGAAAAGCAGTTTAAGCTTTTCAGTACATAACATTTGTTTCGGTCTGAGTGCTGTGCATTTCAACTCTGTATATAATTACACTAGTTTTTAATCTTAGTTTTTAATGTCATTCAAGGTTTGTAATGTGCTTTCTCAAAGTATATTAATGAGTCCTTTACTTACCAAAGGTGCCTTCATTGTGATGGTCAACAATATCTGTCAAAGAATGTTAAGAATAATCCTCTATGAAAAAAGGTTTCTGTACCTATTAAGAAAAAACTGAAATATGAATAATAATTTTAAAAAATGTATACATTTGAAATGACGCATGTCCACTGGAAAGGAGTTTGAGGGCAGTGCATGAGACACAGGTATCTGGATACATAAATTCAAGGTTATTGCATGTGAAATCCAGAATACTAACACAATAAAATGTATACAGACATGTGCAAATGTCCGTTGCAGGTAAGAATGTGAAAGTGGATTTTATACAGAGAATATAGAATAAAACAGGAAGGGGTTGGTGAAAAAATATAAGTAGTGTATGACAGAGGATACATACGCAGCGATCTTCATGAAAGCACATTATGTAATTGATCGAAAAAGCACACTTAAAAGGGAGCAAGAGGAACTTAAATAATTGCTGGTGCTGACAGCAGGTAAAAGTAATATTGCTGTCTGTATCTGGCAGGCCCTGATTAATTTACTGAACTCACCACTTTGATGGCTTGGCTTTGATCTCCCTTCCCCTTCGTTCCCTTGCCACCTTTGGTCTCCTTTTTGTTGTCACTTTCAACTGCCACAGACAGGAAGCAGAATTAATACATACACTTCTGCAGGGTAGATTACAAGGCATTTGGACTGAAAAAAAAAAATAAAACGTCTCAGTATCTGCAAAGTCAATGACATTTATTGGTGACCGAAGAACAGTTGTAAAAGTTTCCTCATGGCGGCAACATCTATTGCCCTCTGCAAATGAAAGCTGTTGATAAAGCATTAATTTATTTACCAACCTAATTAGATTTGCTTCCTTTTTTCTTATGAAACAAAAAAAGAATGCAATTTTTTTACTATTATCCTTGCTTCACATCGCCATCGCCCTTTAGCTTGTGACTAAAATGTTCAACTTTGGAAATGTTGTATTCCTTCACATTAAGCTGTTCCTCACACTATTTTACTAAGCAGATCCACTGTTTGGGTATGGGAATGCTGTCTTTGGATCAGACAGAAATAAAACCGGACGTAAATATACATGTAAGCATCCATTTATTATGACAGGTGGGGGAGGGGTGTTCAAGTTTAAGGAAAATAAGGCACTAGCAAGCAGTGCTAAATGCAAAAACGTTGTTAGGATTTTGGTACGTTTGTAGAATATTGAGAAGGAGGAATACAGAGGACAATGTATATTCCCAAGAGGTTGGGTTTAGCTTAGATATGTATTCATGCAGCAAAAAGCGCTGTAGGTTATTTTGTGACGAACAATGCTGGCTATCTAAATCCTTTCATGACCTTTCTAAGGAGAGAGCCAGGGGAAGCCTTTCAGCATGGGAGTTAATAGAGAAATATTCACCGATGTCAACCTTTAACGCCACGCTCGAGGATAACTCTTCAGACCTTTCAGTCTCCTCTCTGGAAGTTTCACGACCCAGTTGTTTAGTCTGCCACAGTTAACACAGTTTCGCCCCGCCCCTCGCTCCAATGACCATTAGACCATTTAGTAAGGTAAAAAGCAAAAATGCCTCTCAGACGCTCTTCCGTTTACTTGTTTAATAAAGAAGAACAAATGGTCCGAAGATACACGGATTCATCTCCCTCCATCATGTTAATTTGAATCCGAAGTTCTGAACATGGGACCGCCCCTCTCGACCTTCTGAGCCAATCACAGCGCGATAATGACTATACTCCTGTTTCCACTATACTTTCTCTCACACATACATTCTTCTCTTGCATACATATATTTAGAATATTAAAATGTAAACATTGAATGAATGTGCATGAGAGCAAAATGTATAAATATGAGCGTTACACTATATAAATATGAGAGCAAAATGTATATAGGCCTATAGTGAGTGACAATGTATGAATGTGTGAATCGAAATATGATAATATGAGAGCAAAATTTATGAATGTAAATATATGTGTATGAGAGTGAAAATGTATTTACATAAAAGGAGAATGTACGTGTGTGAGAGGACCAGTATGAATTACACACACACACACACACACACAAACACACACAGACACACACACACACACACACACACACACACACACACACACACACACACACACACACACACACACACACACACACACACACACACACACACACACACACACACACACACACACACACACACACCATGTATACATCACTTCAGGGGACATTCCATTGACTTGCATGCATTTCCTAGAGACTTATCCTAACCTTAACCAACACATGCCTAACCCTAACCAAGTCTTCACCCTAAAATTAATGATTCCCATATTTCACCTCCAATTTGTCCCCATAAGGGAAGCGAGTCCCCACACGTGACTGTGTGAACAGATGTAGGTCCCCACAAGTATAGTAATGCTAGGACACACACACACACACACACACACACACACACACACACACCACACACCACACACACACACACACACACACACACACACACACACACACACACACACACACACACACACACACACACACACACACACACACTAAAGATGTCTGCATCATCAGATTCACTGCTCTTTCAACCCCCTCCTCTTTTCAAAATATGAATGTGCATTATTACCCAGAGGATGGAAGCATCATTTCCAAAAAGTAACTAGATTTCTTTCTTGTGATGTTAAGCTCATAGGAGACCTCCAAAAAAAACGTGATTGTATTCATTTAAATAATGCAATTCATTTGTGGTTTTATTTAGTTTTTTTAACATAAATGTTTTTTTTAATTGATTTGAATCAGATTCAGTCCACCAAGATAAAACATTACTTTTTGTATTCCTAATCCAACAAAAACAATTGACCATATATTACAGTAGTGAAGCACAGATGTGCAACTGTCACTGGTTTATGTGTGATCAAAACGGGATCTTGTATTTGTGCATCAATTTTGGATATGGATTCTTAGAATTGTCTTCCAGAAGGATACTACTGTATTTGTTGCTCACCTGCCCTTTGTTCCAATCACAGTTTTGGGAAATGATAACACAAAATGATAGCTCAATTTAAATCAAAAGGGAGACATTCTTAGCAGAGCGACGCTGTTTATCAAATTAAGTTCTGACAATATTGGTGAACATATTGATTGGTGTGAAACTATACTTATTTCAACTAAATGCATGTTAGTGGCAGTTGAAAAAAAAATCACTTAATCCTTTAATTTAGTAAACTTGGCAGCTGAGTCTTTTTTTTACGGAAAGCTGGTATTTTTTTTATGATTAAGGAGACAAAACACAAAAAAAGTCTGCATAAAGTTCTGCAAAAAATAAATAATGATGGTGAACTATTTTCATGGGAATGCTAGGGAGTCCTTGGGCAGTGGCAGTGTTTGCAGACAGTCCTGTAAATGTATGTGCGTGCGTGTTTCTGGTACCTTTGTTTGGCTCTACTCGGATCAGGCGGCTGTGGAGGAGCTGCAGGGAGAAATCTCGAGACACAGAGTTCAGGCTTTCCTCCTGCAGGATGGACAAGGCTTCCAGCGGCAACTCCAGTAACTTCCTGTCTGCCAGCAACACCACATACTCCCCTGATTCTGCTGGTAACTTCACTACACACACACACACACACACACACACACACACACACACACACACACACACACACACACACACACACACACACACACACACACACACACACACACACGTTTTGATTTGCAATGGCGTCCATGTTTCTGATCATAACTTGCGGGGACCACACACAAAAACAATCTGTATTGCGGAGACACATTTTTAAAAACTGATAATTATTTCTATATTTTATGATACTTGTTTTAATTGATTTGTTTTGGTGATCTTGGCATTTGTATCATTGTGATGTCTCGTTTTAACTGTGGAATGCTGAAGGGGAGTAATAAAGAGACTTTTAAAACACTTTTCTCTTGTTTCGTAAATGTGATGACAAAATATCTTTGAAGTAGTTTTGATTTAATCTGTTAGATGGTGCTGTACAACAACCTCCAAGTACCTATTGCTAGACGCCTTATGTTCATAAGAGAGTGTAAGTGTTCCAACTTAACTATCTTTGAGTGAACAATTATAAAAAAGCTTAGTGGCACTATCATCCCCACTGTGCCTTGTAAAGGTGCTGTGTGTAAATCAGCGTGTATCACGTTAAATCACAGGTTCAGCAACAATTGGTCTGAGGGGGATGAACTGCCGCGTGCTTCAATAGAAACACACTGCTGATGCGGTGCCAATAAAACAGATAGGAATCAGAGCAGATGTTGTGTATTGTTCATGTGATACATTATAAAGATAACCACAAAGGCCTTAGGGTCTCAGATCCTCATCCTTTACCTGAGCTCCCTTTCTCTTCTTTATCTCTGGCTTTGGTCATCTCAGGGACCAGTAGTGGTGTAGTCTGCGGCCTGAGGCATGTAAGAGAAGGCAAGAATCAGTAAGGCTACACTACCTTATTACTGACAGAGCATAAGATAAAACCAGATAGTGTGATAAAGTGTGCTTTGTGCTAGCTTGCTGCATGCATTTGTGAACACAGATGCAGAAAACGTTTCCTGTGTAGTGGACAAAATGGGGAATCTGATGAAATGTACCTTAAGCATGAAAAGTCAAACTTTGTGAGGAGTGGATTCAAATAGTCATCCATGTTTTCTACAATCTCTCTGAAGTGAGGTCCTAACATTTCCTCTGCAGCAGCTTTCTGTAAAGGAAAACAAGAAAAAAAATATGTATGCCATCATCCTACATCCATGTGTCCAAAATTGTGTTCCAAAAAAACAGACATTTGTGTGAAATGTTGATATAAAGCAAGTCAATTCTTAAGTAAGGATTCCTTTGACTCTTGAACACAAAATTATATTCAGTTCATCCTTGAGTCTAAGTGTATGCAACATTTTTGAGAAATTCCCTCAAGGCGTTATTAAGCATGGATCGACAACAAGAAAACATGATGCTTTCTTTTCATGTCTGAAATGTGAATTTCAAGAGCTGTGATGTAGTATTTATTGTTGCAGACCACTCATTAGTCTCATACACACTACATATTGAAGCAACATGATTCTTGTGTATAAAACTCAGCTGTCCCAAGTCTCCCCTGCAAGCAAGGAGAGACATGATAATAATAACAACAGTGGAGTGATTCAATTCATGAGGCTTGCAGTGGATAGATAATGTCAATAGAGTGAAAGAAGAGCAGAGGTCTCAACAAGACGTACACGGGGAAACACACGATGCTCCTCCGAGGGCTGCGGTCTTCCCTCAGCAGCGTGCCAGCAGGCGTGCTTGAGGAGGGCGTGTCTCGTCTCCTGGTCGAAGGCCCGGATCTGCTCCCTCAGCGCCAGCAGAGCCTGGGGGCAGACCGAAACCTTCGCCACCTTAGAGCACGTCAGGCTACCTGAAACAACAGAATTATTGACACTCAGTCAGCCCTGCATACTCAAAGACAAACCTTGTAATTGGTCCCAATGAGCACTGCCTCCCTCTTCTTCTGGACCTTTTGTAAGTCTAGTCAGAGGAGAGGTTGTGCGAGCAGGTGATACGGTATGCAAGGCTTGCAGATAAATGTTACATGGGAATACTAAATAAATGTGGCTCCATGTGAATGAAACTTAAATGCTACAAACAGATATGCAGTTAATACTCTGTTTGAAATAGCTCACATCTCTCACAAAAGTGGGAAGTCTGAAAGTGCTTTGTATTGTGAACATAGGTCTAAAAAACAATGCACAATCTCTAACCTGTTCCTTGCGTCGTCTTTCCCTTTTGATTTGGAGCTCTGTTCATTTCATAGAAGGCACCAAAAAGTTCTGACCTAAATACAAAAAAAACAAAAGGACTTTCTTTAACCTTTAACTGTATATAATTATGTTAGAAAACAATTAAAATGCATACCATCTTCATTCACAAGTACATACACATGTAAACAATCAGCCCTCTATTGGCAGGTGTACCAAACAGCTTCACATACACTGAACAAAAATATAAATGCATCACTTTTGTTTTTGCTCCCATTTTTCATGATATGAACTCAAAGATCTAAAACATTTTCTATATACACAAAATAACCATTTCTCTCAAATATTATTTACAAATCTGAAAAAATCTGTGATAGTGAGCACTTCTCCTTAACCGAGACAATCCATCCCACCTCACAGGTGTGGCATATCAAGATGCTGATTATACAGCATGATTATTGCACAGGTGTGCCTTACGGCCCGTCTACACTGCAGGCATCGACAAATGCGTTCAACGCTTCGCCCATTCACTTGAATGGGGTGACGTAGAAGATTTTTAATCTTCGCCGAACTGCATTGTGGGGAGCATGGCATGGCTTTGCAAGCATCACGAGCATCTATCCGTTGAAAGTTGAACAATGTTCAACTTTTGAGGCTCGATGCTTGGCATCAGCCAATCAAATCCCGTTTATGCAAATCCCGCCAGTGCAAGCGCTAGCCAATCAAACCACGTGCAAGCTGGGAGAGCCAGACCGCAGTTCATTTCCTCATATTCCAAACGAGATATTACGGTAGCAAATCACTCGGTTCTTTACGACCAGAAATAGTTCTGGTCGTAAAGAACCGAGTGATTTGCTACCGTAATATCTCGTTTGGAATATGAGGAAATGAACTGCGGTCTGGCTCTCCCAGCTTGCACGTGGTTTGNATTGACTAGGTCCCCACGTGTGGTTCTGGGATTTTTGCTCACTGTTCTTGTGATCATTTTGACCCCACGGGGTGAGATCTTGCCTGGAGCCCCAGATCGAGGGAGATTATCAGTGGTCTTGTATGTCTTCCATTTTCTAATATTTGCTCCCAGAGTTGATTTCTTCACACCAAGCTGCTTACCTATTGCAGATTCAGTCTTCCCAGCCTGGTGCAGGTCTACCATTTTGTTTCTGGTGTCCTTTGACAGCTCTTTGGTCTTGGCCATAGTGGAGTTTGGAGTGTGACTGTTTGAGGTTGTGGACAGGTGTCTTTTATACTGATAACGAGTTCAAACAGGTGCCATTAATACAGTTAACAAGTGGAGGACAGAGGAGGCTCTTAAAGAAGAAGTTACAGGTCTGTGAGAGCCAGAAATCTTGTTTGTTTGTAGGTGACCAAATACTTATTTTACCGAGGAATTTACCAATTAATTCATTAAAAATCCTACAATGTGATTTCCTGTGGATTCTTTCACCCCATTCTGTCTCTCATAGTTGAGGTATACCTAGGATGAAAATTACAGGCCTCTCTCATCTTTTTAAGTGGGAGAACTTGCACAATTGGTGGCTGAATAAATAATGTTTTGCCCCACTGTTTGTGTGTTTCTGCTCTCTACCTATCAGCAGAAGAGGCGGCGGGCCCAGCAGCTCTTGGCTCAGGCCAGTCAGGCGCTGACTGAAGCCGTCAGCCTGTGTCTCCAGCACCAGCTGCCCCCCCCCATCCTGGCTGAAGCCTCTCTCAACATGTTGGAATGTTATGGCCAGTCTGACCCTGCAGAGGCAGGTCAATATCTGGCCCTGTTTCAGGTACTGTGCATTAGATCATATCATATTTTAAATAATCTCCTTAACTTGCAGGCATTGTCTAGACTAGTGTGCTGGGTTTTTGTAATGTATAGAAAAGACATGATGATCTTATCACTTTTATGCCCACCTACACTGTAGAAAGTCTTAACCAGAGTACAGTGTATAAAACAGGGGTCCATATGCTGCCACTGTCTGACTGCATGTAGGATGCCTTCTCAAAGAAGTCAGATTGAAGATCATTTGATTTATCACCTCTATAAAAACATTTTGAATCCGTTTATGGACTCAAATGCATGAGTTCATTTTGAAATGATGATCACATTTAAAGTAAAATAGACGATAAACCAAGGTATGCTATGGGGGGTTACCTTGTGATTGACAGCTGCAACAGTCTGGTTTGCATGTTTTCCTGGTTTTGTCATAAGACTTTAACCCTTTTTTATAGTGTGTAATTACCCAAAAAAGGGCTTGTTCAGAGTTATTTTTATACTTTGCTATAACCCCCAAAACGCAGGTAGCTCCAGGAACAACACAAGTCGAAGCAGTAGCCACAATTCATCTTCACTTACTTAATGGGTCTCCTCAGGACCGCCCTGCTGTAATTCTTAATATTACCAACAGCTCCTTCATCACTCTTCTGTTGTTCTCCCAGAGCTGCTGCACTGTTGCCTCCGTGGCTGAGGTCCTAGGCTGTGCCTGTTCTGGCTCCGGTGTGTCCCAGTTCTCTGCTCTGCTCAACCTTCACAGGATGCTGCTCCTCTCTCAAGAGGAGAGGCCCAGCAGCATGCTGAAGGGAGTGCAGGACTCCCTCAATAGCCTCTCCAAGGTATGGGATCACCAAACCCCCTCTCTAATGATTAATGGAGCCTGTCATACTCAGCTTTGTTTATTCCCTAGATAAGATATACACCATCGGTACTGTTATGGCCTTTGCTCTGAACGCACTCCTCAAACCAAAGTACTGGAGCTTCAAACACAATTACTTTTAAAATAAACGTAACGGAGGGATTCTAGATGTGTGAGCACACAAAGTGCTTGTGTACTCACACATACGACCACACACATAGCTTGACTCTGCATATTGGTACTTCATTAAAAACAGCATTTAAAAAATATATATATATATTATTAAGAGCGACAACAACAATGTGTGTCTGTCTGTCTGTCATTCTTTCTGTTGACATATTTTTTCAATGTAATAGTGCCACAATTCGGCAACATGCAATAACTAAACTGGACAGATGTGTAGCTAAATTAAAAGTTGAGTTTGTAGACAGGTGTGAGGCGGGCAAAAGCTCTGGAAGTATGGAATTTAGGAAGCAGCCACTAATGTAAATATTAGACTTTACGTTTACATTTGTAACTTTTTAACTTGATATATTCTCTAAATCATTCTTACTCTTTTTTGAACCAACTGATATTCTGCAACTTTTCTTCTTTCTGTTCGTGGCATAATGTATACGTTTCCTGTAAATAACAAACAGGAACTTAATGACAGCAATGCTCAAACATTGTAGAAAAGCACCTGATTCTCTAGTCTATTGGTTGGCATAGAATGCTACAGATTGATAAAATGACAACATTATACGTCTAAAAGTTCAAAATAACATAGGTTTACTTATAATTAGTCAGTCAGGAAGTAATTTTTAGAGATTAAAAAAAATATTGGTATAGAAAATTCATCTGCATCTTTACACACTACAGACAAACAAATCTAGACATATATTCCAAATACTACAACAAAATGGTGTTGGCATCATGGTTGGCATACTCTTGTGATTTTTCTCCTGTGAACATTTTTTATTTTATGTTCTGAACTGAACTTCTAAGCATTTTAAGATTCATATAATTTACGGTGAACTTTGTGATCATGAAATACATTTCTGGTCTGCAGGCCTTCAGCCACCTGACCATCTACCCCGGCCACCTTCATATCCTCGCAGAGCTTCCACCCAACCTTAAAATTGTGCTGCTTCAGCACTCAGAAGATGGGTAATGTTTAATTTGTTATTGTCTGCTTTCTATATAACTATTCCCCTTTCTTTTCCCTGTTGTCAATGGTTCCTTATTTGACAGTTTAAAGGTGGGGTAGGTAAGTTTGAGAAACCGGCTCGAGAAACACTTGTTATATTCCATGGAATGCTCTTAACATCCTGATAGCAATGAATATCTTAATTCTTAAGTGCTTTCACAAAAACAAATGTCATCTGTGGAAGCCGTAGTACTGTAAAAAGCACGACCAATCATCTGAGCCGGCCCGGCTAAAATAACTGGATGGCCTACCTGCCTGTCAGTCTTCCATCTGTGCACAAACTTATCTCGTGCCCTCATGTGCGCGTTCGTGTGTGTTGGAGGAGGGGCTCTGTAAGGAAGGGCAGATTTGTTCCAGCTGTGTATTTTCAAATTCTAGCGCACTCGAGCTGGTTTCTCCAAAACTTTTGGGGATCCCCCAATTTGGGATGGGATTGTACAGTGGTTAACTCGTACAAACCCTAACGGAACCTAGGCCGCAATATGCTGTCGCACCAAGGTTCAAGGACGTTATAGTCCGTTGAAAGCGTGTCGGAGTCCATAGACCAACACTGGTGTAAAACGGAGGCCGTCACGTGTGTAGAAGGAAGGCTTATATTAACTAAGTTCCAACAAACTACACCCGGACACCTTACACCAGGTGAGGATGAAGTTACCCGACACCGAGCTTCAACCGACCTATTACCGTCCCCTTTGACCTTGTGCGACAAGCATATGCGCCTTAGGTCCTCGTAGGGTTTTTTGTACGAAGTTACCCACCCTGACAAAAAATCCCAATCCCAAATTGGGATCCCAAAAGCCTGGGGGGTCCTGGGGGGGTTATTGTTTTTTACGTGCAAAGTCTCAGCCGGAAAATAACACCGAGTTCGGATTCCGTGTGGCACACGTTATTAGTACAACGACAGATTAGTCGTTAGAACTATAGGTGTGGACACTCCACCCCTACCTAATAGAGCGTTTTTTACTTTTCTACCCTCGTTTTTTGTTTCACAACCGTAAATATAAAAAACAAAGCACATACAAAATGAATAAGTAAAAGTTTGGAAAACTCCCTTAACCTGGACGACATGGAAAAATTAGGTTCCAATGGTAATTTCCACCCCATC